CCTTTTGTTGTAAAAAAACACTAATATAACCAATTCATTTGAGACCCTTGTACCAGAACCCAACTATAGCTAATGATACTATAGTATATCAATAAATACATACATAATTTTTGGGCTCCGTTTCATGTTGACTTGAGCAACCTCTCATTCGATTTTTGAACCATCTAGTTTGAATAGATCATTGCTTACCTCACAGTGCTAATTTTTTACGAGCCAAGCCAAGCCAAAAGTTAACGGCCGGTAATTATTTAAACCTGATTTGGTTATGTTGCCAGTTTCCATCTGGCATTGGGGAAAAACATTTTCTGGACTCTCTCTCTCTCTCTTTTCCTTTTTGCATATATTTGTTTATGATTATACATTTATACCATTATTTCTTTTCTTTAGCATTCAAACTAGACTTCCAACTATGGATCGAAGATCTTACCTATTAAGATAATCCTTTGGAGCAAAAAAAAAATTCTATATATAAGCAATAAAAAGGAAGTTAGACGATGGTGAGAGCGGCTACTAAGGTGGGTTCCTAATGGTGGAGAGATACAAAAAAGTTGGTAAGATGCTTGGGTAGGTGAAGGAGAACTTACTAACAAATTTCCTTGACCATATTAATTTGCACTTTGCAATGTTAAGCGAATAGGAAGTTGGATTGGTGGTACGTGGCAGTGGTAAAAATATATTGTAGAAGAATACAGGTTACAGAACAAGGCAAGAAATTTCTGCAACAGTTGACAAATTCACAAGGTTTGAAGCTTCTATCTCAGTCTGCCCCTGCATAGGAGGAACTGAGGAACATGGGGATCAACAACTCCGATTTTTGAGTTATCATAATTGATTTTCTGTACATAAAACTTTGCTGAATTACTTAAGGTACAGAATTGTATCATTGTAATCAGAAAATTAGTGGTATATATTTTGGGTTCCTGGATTTGATGGATTTGGATTTGCTCGACTCTATTACAGAATACATCATTTACCTCAATTTACTTGATTTTTTCTCCATGGGATTTTTCAAAATCAAGTAAATGTGAGTCACCATATGATACTTGGCAAGTTACTCAACGTTGACTACTATAGTCTATAGCATTCGGTTATTATCTTAGTGAGGAATGAAATATACGAAGAAAGCAACCTCTTAGTTGACTTTTCTACTCCACATAGGTAAATAAAAGCAAAACCAAGTAAAGATTGTTAGGCATAAAGGAAACTCTTGATTTGCAGTTCTAATAGCATGCAGAAACACATTCAAGCTAAATTTAAAATAAAGATTTAAACATAAAGGTGAACTCTAATTAAGAATCCTTTTATTGATATACCAGAGAATTAGAGCTAGC